TGACCTAAAAACCTTAGGTATTGACACCAATGTCATGGTACTTGGAGCATTCGCAGCGTTTTAATAGCAAATATTTGTTTCTCTTGGCGGCCATAATTTGAACGTCACATTTAATAAAGATGTATGCTATGGCGTTTTATATATGTTCTATTTGATTCCTAAACTAAAGAACATGGGTATTGACGCCAAGATCATGGTAATATAAGCACGTAAAACCTTTAAACTTCAAAAATTGTGTTTTTTGGCAGCCATTTTAAATATTTTATTTAATTTTGCATTTTGACGATAACGATGGATTCTTTGAACTAAAGAGCATGGGTATTGACACCAAATCATGGTAATGTAAACACCTAAAGCATTTAAACTGCCAAAATTGTTTTTTGGGGGGGTTTTTTGGCGGCCATTTTGATTTTTTTCAAATATTCTCGGCGGGAACGATTGGAGTGACGTCGTGATTCCCGCAATTTTTGGGATCGGCATAGGTCTACTCAAAAACCCTCTAGGACAAAGTTTCATGCTTCTTTCCAGACAAATGTCACATATCCGCCCCACTATGACTTTTAGGCATAGACTACTGGGATTAAAACATTAATCTCACCAGAAGTATGTCCAAAGCACTTTTTGTCTATTGAAATCATGCAATTCCGTCCCACTCACAAACAATAATAATATAAATTATCAATTGAGGGAACTAAATGAAATCATCAAGTTGGTAAGGTTAAAGGGTATTCAAGGAGAATCATGATAAAGCACGTCATGTGATTATGATTAGTACTGAAATTTGTAAATCGAATGGTAAACCAATATAGGATTGTTATGATAACAGTTGATAATATTCCTTATCATAATACTTAATGCGCTGGACGTCATTACATGGACTCTGATCATTAGGACTGATCAGAATTCAAGATGGCCAAACTACTCGCACTACTTATGCTCTGTGTGCTTCCCGTTGTTCTTGCAGACAACGTAAGTAATATGTTTCTTAAAATGAAATTATTTTAAAGGCATCCTCAGAGAGAGAATTGGGAATCGAGAGAGTTTAAAAGAAGTACGTGGCGGCGGAAATGCATGTACAAAATTGTATAACAGTCGTTCTTATTTTGAAATTATGCCTCTGTTATTTTTAATCGTCCAAATTTGAAAAATACAATACGACATCATCTGCTGTTTTTCAGTCAATCAACAGCTCATTTCTTAGAAAATTAAGTTTTTTAGAAGACACAGGATTACAAATCACTTTAATCTATTCCAGCATATTTCGTCCTTGCAAGACTAAATGAATATACATTATTTTCTTGCTATCACACGTAGATAAAATGTAATTGTTTAAAATATAGCAATCAGGAGAATCGCCCTTAAACACCTCAAGTGCTTCTCAGTATTACGCTACTCAGAGGAGAGAGATTCATATTTCTTGCATTTATTTGCCTTTCGTTATAATAATATCGGTCTATTGATATGATTTACAATTTCACTTTTATTTTTCAGGCCCAATGTTTCTCAAACGAGTAAGTATTCAATATTTTAAATGGTTCATTCCAACAAAATATAAGAGATTGATTATCATTAAATTGTATATAGGCCTAATTTATTATGGTAATGTTATTAATTATTTAAATTACATAGATGTGGTCCTCTGGAATTTTGCTGCGGACCTCATGAATGTTGTTTGAAGGACTGCTCATCAACTAAGTAAGTTATTTCATTATACTACGAAATTCATTATCTTTAAACTTGCAGCAATAAAAATAGATAACTTATGCATAACAAATACGTCGTGAATATTTAGATATAGTATAATTCAAATGTTATTACGTTATTTAAAATAATGAAGATATATTTCAGACGGCCGTTTTAAACTCTACACGAATTCCTCCTCCTTTGCATTTTGGCCTATTCGTTAAAATCACGTAGCACGGTTATCAGTTAATGATTAATACTTATGTAAACAATTAGGCCTACTTTGTAAAGCTATAACGTTTGTGTAGCGATGTAGGCCCTACTTCCGCTCCTACTTCCATGTAGGCCTTACCAAATTATAATTACAAAAACTTTAAACAATTTTAAAGTTTTGATCAGTCTCATTAAATTACTCCAATAAGTTCCCACGTAAAAATATGGAAATACGTGAGCAATAAACCCTAATTAGAAAAGAAAACTGCATTATAACAACTCTTAATAAAAATGTACTGAGCTAAAACAGCTACATCGATGTACATTAAACGTATCATACTGTTGACATGAGTAATTGAATATAATAAAAGTATGTAACCGACAAATAAATCAATTGAAGGTTAAAACAATACAAATATTTGAAAAAACATCATTCTATTTCTGTTTCATATATTTCAGCTTTCCGTGAAAATACGGTAGTAATTATAATAAGCACTGGAGAGAGCATTCGATATGTTATCATCTTTTAGAGTTTATGTTTCGATAATTCTTAGAAATAATTTTAATGATTTTTTAAAGATAGGCTTACATTGTTGGATAATGTTTGTTGTATTTTTTGCATGATTTCGCTAACGTTCCAATAATGATTACACTATGAGTGTGTTTTTTTCTCATTGCTAGTTGTGCTGTCGACCAGTATTGCTGTGGAAACGAAAAATGCTGCCATCATGAGTGTCATTCAGAATTGTAAGCTCGTAATTTTAGATTGGGCAGTGGCTATTGTTACACCAGTTCCTAGATTTGATATGAGGTTATTGTTCTAATTCGGACCACGAATTTTGCGCTTGGTGGCTAGTGATGAATACGATTCCCGAATATCAGCGGGTACTGCAATGCTACTACGTAGAGGTAGGGCGAACATCATGTTATATCTTCTGACGAAAAAACGCCATCGGAATAGCATTAGAGTACCCGCTGTTACTCCCCACCAAGTGCAAGCTCGGTGGTCGAGTGGTTAAGACACCAGGTTAGTTATCGGGAGGTCGTGGGTTCAATTCCCACACGAAACACTTGCAAGACATATTTAGCATTGTGTGTGATAACACGTCATTCATTCGTATGAATATTCGCTGCCTTAAAGATCATAGATTTCAGATCTATGTTTATAAAGCAAAATAGCTATGATACGAAATGTGTATATACACGCTTAAGTTTATAAGGGTGCAGGTCAACTCGGCCACAAGTCAACTCGGCCACAGTCAACTCGGCCACAAGTCAACTTGACTTGTTTATAAGACATAGGCCTGTTGAATAATATGGTTACGTCTTTAGAGTTTTTGAAAGACCTTAAGTCACTACTTTAATTGTAAATAAAAAAAAAAAAATCTTTTAAATAAGAAACAATTGTGAGCCAACAGTATTGTGTAAAATGTTTACAAACAGTTGAGATAAAGACAAGAGAGGCAACCAGTAGGATGTGATAGGGCCCCCGTCGGTGAGAACTTGACTTAAGTTTGAGGTTAACATGGCGATTTATTCAAACATACACATTTGTATCAAGGACACTCTTTGCAAAAGATTCGTTCCATTAACGACTAGCGACTACTCGTTCAATATTTTGTAAATACTGTATGTGTATAATTATTAATATATGGTGCTTTAAAAGAGATAAATAAAGAAAATCCCCCTGATAAGGAATCAGACTTGTGCAGGCCTGGGTGGTAAATCGCTATCCTCGCTAAGTAATGAAGCTTCCTAGGTGTCAATCAAACTTACAACTTATTTATTTAATTCAACCGCCATCGAAAAACATAGTTAAAAGTATGACAAATTAAAAAAAATAACAAAATAAACCCCCAAAATAAATGAACCATGAATTGTGGCCCTATATTTATTATGTCTTGTATTTTATTATTTGTTTTAGTTGTGATCCCCGGAATGAATACTGTTGTGGTGAAAACAAGTGCTGTGCATTCAAATGTGCTGGCGGGTGAGTCAGTATTTTCAGTATTATATTATGCCGTTCTGTTACAAAATAAAATACTATTATGCAATAATAATAGAAAATAGTGAAAACAGTAATGTAAAGTGCTCAGTATAGGAGAGCTATGCTCTTGATAGTGTTTGCACATTTAGTGGCAATCCTCAATGAATCTTGGTTTGTGTTTTGCTATCGTATTACCCGGAAATTGAATAAATTAAATAAATATTTTGGATCACCAATTACACCATCATGACAGGATTTCCAGGGAAAGGCTGTGTTTGTTTGTTTTTTTTTAAATTATTTTTTAATAATAATAAGCATATCCCAATTTTATTTCCGTTCTCTTTTCCCATCTATCTTATTTCGTTTCTATCCATCATTGACTCTGACAATAAATTTGCTTTGATACATTCAAAAAGGTGTGATGATGACCACTTCTGCTGCGGCACAAACTTATGCTGCGCTAATCAGCTATGGTACTCCTTCTGGTGGATATGGTACGTATGGCGGCCTTACTTGTTTTATACTGTTTAAGAGCAATAAAACGAATTGATTTTAATCTTGATAATAATAGTAATAATAATAATAATAATAATAATAATAATAATAATAATAATAATAATAATAATAATAATAATAATAATAATAGTAATAATAATAATAATAATAATAATAACGCCAGCAAGCCGGCCCCAGATCGCATGATAGAATATAGTTAGTTTTGAAAATCAATGCATAGTAGTAGGAATAGAAGTTTTAATTTTAATGATATTTATTTTTATCTACCCAGGGCTATTTCGAGCTTCGCATTCTTACTTCTCCTTTCGTCTTGTATCGCCGTCTGTTGCCGGGCATGCTGCTCTCGTAAACCCAATGAGGTCGTAATATATAGAGCAGATGCCAACCCATATAATCGATTCGAAAACGAATTGAAAACATGTACGGAACATTATTAAAATATATAGGTCTAGATAAAATAAAAGTTGTTAAAAAGCGTACTATAGGCCTACAGCGCATAACAGAGAATCGTAAAATTGATTGTGTTATAATTTTGTGACAACTAATTTATTTACTTTTGTACTCTAATCATAATATTATTGTGTTTATACTTTTGTTTCTTAAAGTCATGCTCCGGAGGAAAAATATGTTTTGATATGTGTAGAACTAATTAAGACAGAAAACAATTTGTTTGACGAAAAACCTGGGAACGGTATATGAAATACAATGTGAACATTTAAAAACTGGGGGCGTAACCTCTCTTTTTTCCACCTTTTCCCCCAGTTTTTGAATATTAAAAAATCTGTATCTCTTTAACAGTTCCTGAAATCAAAATTAGCATTTGGGAGGACGACATAACTTGGAACTATTGATATACAGTAGTATATCTCAATAAAGATATACTGTACTTATAATTTAGCAATATTAAACCCAATCCGACATTGGTTAGAAACAAACTTTTAAATCTAAATCCATAAATTCTTAATGCATAAAATTTAAAATGTAGATGTATGGTCGTCTGGATGGTTAATCACATTGTTTAGGGGTAGGAAAGTTGCCGCAGCCAGATGACGTCATTCAGCAAGCTACTAAATTCAATTACATCAGCGAAACCCAATTCATAAAAGAATATTTTGTTTCATGAAAAAATACACGTGAAATATCCTATGTAGTAATTATACACTATAATTTTAATAAGCCTATAATATGTGTAAGGAAAGGTAGGAGAGCTACCCATAGTTCGCAGCCCCATTGTTCGGTATTTCATATTGGCATGATCCGTGACTGTCTAGCCGCCGTTGAGAAGCGCTTAATTATGCAGCTTCATGTTCACATCATCAGTGGCGTATCCAGGGGTGCGGGGGGCGCACACCCCTCAAAAAATTACCCGCTCCCCCCCCCCCCCCCCACAAAAAAATCACTTGCAAGTAGATAAAATTATCTAAAATTACCTTATTTTGCGAGTTAGTACCACCCCTCAAATGATCATCGAGCCCCTTCACCCGCACGCTCCCCATCAGCACCCCCATTTCAAGACTTCAAGATACGCCACTGCACACCATTCCAGAATGGCACGGACTGAGATGTTATCGACACGGGATTTCACCCGTTATAATGTTAACGTCACATTTTCTGTTCAATTCTTCTTTCTCATAGTTATTTACACTTGACCAGGGGTCTGTAATCCCAGATTGAATATGTACATGATTTAGATTTGTTTTTTGTGATAAGTATCTACATACTCTGTATTTCCTTTTCTTTTGTTATCTGTATTTTCTTTTGTTAATATGTTGATATTTTTATATCTTTGTAAAATTAACATAATGCTGATAATAGACTTCGAGAGTATCTATATCAATAAAGCATTGAATATAATTGAAATTGAATTAAAATCAACATGTAGTAAACAAATGTGTTTAATTTTGCTGTTTTGCATAGTATTGAAATAGTCACTAGAAATTTGGCATTAGTTATGTTTAAGGTACTATTTGTTTTTGCTTTCACTCTAAGCAAAGCCCTAGAAGCCGCTTCAGTAATAGGTTGCTGTGTTTAAATCTTACTAACTTAAAAAGTATGAAATTCTCGCTGAAACATAGCATGGTGCACCCCACAGCTCGTCCACAATGTATTCTATAACTATAGTCCAGCTGATGACGTTTGAATGACGACGACATACTATAGGTAACATCAAATCCCACATTAACATTGCCACAGCCAGGTGACGTCATTCTGCAAGCTACTACATTATTTTAATTACACCAACTAAATTGAACTCATAAAAGAATATTTTATTTCATGAAAAAATACACGTAAAATAGCTTAAGTATGTATTTACAGTACAATTTTAATATAATATGTGTATATAGATATGAACCATTAAAGGTTTTAAACACGCGTGCTTAGCAATACCATATTAATGTGTATATAGGCCTAATAGAAATATCCATTTTTATATAATAGGCCTAATAGAAATATCCATTTTTATATAATAGGCCTATAGCCCTAATATTTAATAACATGACGATATATCCTTATGTTGTTAGGTTATGTAGACATTGCATAAAGTAAGAGTTTGATATTTAAACTGAAAAAAACACTCATAATAATTATTGCTTATTAAATCAATTCCATAAGGCCAAAAAAAAAAATACTATTTAGCGTCACCACCCCACCTGAATTTTCGAGCCAGAATAAAAAATTTAGAGGCGACAACTTTTTATTGTAATTAAAAAAATATGAATATTGTCCAGGCAATGCTAATCAAAATCGTATAGGCCTTTTAAGTGAATTAAAACTGCGATTTCACCAACCAGGTGTAATATTTATTGCAGGCCTAATGAAAATGACTAATTTTAACACTTTTGTTTTCTGAATGAAATTGAAAATATTAAATTTTTGGAACAATTTCTTTGTTTTGGTTTACTTTGTTCATGATGTTGAAAAGTGAAAATACTCTAAGATCATGCTCAGTGGCAATGTGTGAGTTTGTAGCTTATGCAATCCCAGTTGTGCCTAGGTATTGTTAAAGTACGGTACCATCTAATAAAACACAGATTCGTAGATTAATGATACTGTAGATATATACATAAAAACACCAAACAAAACCCCCCTCCTTACCTAAAATTTTGTTGGGATGCGACGCTAAACAACTATTTTTTTTTATTTGGTCTAATATTTCTATTTACCTTACCAAGAATGCCACAAATTGAATAGGATGAATTATTGTAACATCAATTTAAAGAAATGTTGTTCCTCAAGCACACCTCAAAGATATATAGGCCTATCATAAATATGTTTTATATTTTCCTGGTTCAACTGATGGAGAAACTTATTTGAAGCACAGCTATAAACCGTGTAGGCATATACCTCGACGATCTTCACAAGTCCATCTCTCGCAGAGTCTTCACAAGCATCTCTCGCAACGATTTTTTGCAAGTACATCTCAAAAAGACAACCATAATTCGACTGGGAAATTATTGTTAAATGTTTTCTCCCTTTCTCGTCTTAACATTAAATAATAATGTTATAATAAAAGCTGAAAATTAAAGCACAGTAATATATGTAATGTACGTTAATGTCAAACAATAACTGGATTGTCAATCGAACTTAACAACCGACCAATCATAACAGAGCAAATGATAGGCCTAAAAGTTCCAAAATAGGTCATCTTCATATTTGGCCCTTTTTAAATCCGGACTTAAATCTCATCTCTTTTCACAATTCTAATCTTTCTTGTTCTTGTTTTATGTTGTTTTTATTCTTTTATCTTGACACTAGGTAAAAGAGTGCAGTGAGCCATTGAAATGTATTATGCGCTATACTAGAAATGGAAGACCATTACCAAAACACACGTGTTGTCTCACAAACGCACGTGCTTGCTGCGTATGTTTACGCGGTTGTGTTGCTTAGCAGGTCTAGAGTAATTAATTAGGCCTCAGTATAGACACATTGAAATAAATTGGTATACTGTAATATTATATGATATGTTATGATATGATTTAGTATCATATGATGATATCTGATGTATAATACAGTTATATATATA